GGAATTTACAGGATGGCTTAAACGACAAAGTAGCTTGATAGCAAGCCAGAATGGTATCATGGCAAAAATAATAGACCTTATTTTTCAGTCTATTTCTACAGCTTATCAATAGTAAGAACTTGAAAACAGCACAACACTGCTATTTCCCTATTTCTGTATCAACAATTCAGGGCAACTATAGGTATTAAAATACATATAAAGTATAATACAGCATATAAACAAATAATAATATCTAGTTTATAATATTATAGTTTGTATCTAGTTGTCACCCCAAAGCCTTATGCAGTTGTGGGGCGGACTTCTGTGATTAATTCATGATCCAGGGCTGGGATCATGGGTGAGTGCTACATTCAGCCTGGATAGCCTGAATGCAACGTAAGGGAGACAGACTTGCTCTGTTGCTGCTACTCTTCCCACTTGCTCTTGCTATTTTCCACCACTATGAACTTCACCCTCTGCCATGTGCCAGTTTGACTTGGGCTCAGCTGAGTATGGACTAACCCCCCCCACCCCAATTGTGAGCTAAATAAACCTTTCTTTCCTTAATTCTGGGCATCAGGTATTTGTTCCAGCAACAAGAGTAACTGTCAAAACCTTATGTAGTCAGGGGGTGGCTTCTGGAGTTTACCATGGATTACTGTGGGTGTGGGTGCTGCACCTGTGCTGGGGCAGGTAATCTGCATTACAATGTGAGGGGAAAGAGGCTAGCTAGCTGCTTGAGCTGCCACTCCTTTTGCTCTCTAGCTCTTTGCTGCCGCCATGAAGGACTGCTCTGTGCCATGTGCCACACTTTGGAGAAAGCTAAATGGACTGAAACCTCCATAAACTGTGAGCTAAATAAACCTTTCTTTCCTTCATTTTTGGTTGTCAGATATTTGTCCCAGCAACAAGAGAACAGTGAGACAGAATTTGGTACCAGAAAAGTGGGGTTGTTGCTATCTGACCATGTTGTTGAAGAGCTTTTGGGAATGGCTAATATGAAGAAATAGGAGAAGTTTGGAAATGTCACCTACAAGAGAAGTGCTAGAACAGCTTCTGCTGTTCTGTATGGGAGATTCTGGTCAGAGCTCAGTAGACAAGAATGCTGATAGAAAGCCTGCCTGTAAAGATCAGTCTGGGGAGGTTTCTTCTGGGAAGGGCTACACTGGTTGTTGGGACTCCAGATGCATGTTTTGGCTTGGCAAAAAGTTTGTCTGAATTTTACTCATGTCCAGAAATTTTGCCTAAGACTGAGATTAAGCATGATGGACTGCATCTTACAATGAAATTTCAAGGCAGTAGAATGTTGAAGCAGTGGCATGGCTATTGTTGGGGGCTTTTAGTCAGATATATGTTGAGAATCAAGAGCAAAGAGCCCAGCAGGATGATTTAAAATGTGAGTTTGGCGAGAAAGGAAAAGCCAATAAAGCTGTGGCCTGCAAAGATAGACCTGAGAGGATATCCACTGCTGCGAAGGAAAGAGAATGGAAAAGACAGTCTCAAAGTATCACAAGAGACATGTCATAACTGGGGATTGAACTCAGATCCTTGCGCTTGCCAGGGAAGTGTTTATTCTACTGAGCCATCTCCCTGGCCCTTTCCGTTCTTTGCAGCCTCAGAACTGCAAGGGACTTTGCCTTGGAGAGAAAGCTGCGGTATGCAACAGCGCCATGTTCCAGGATGGCAGTGGTCATCAAACCAGGTTCCAGAATGGGGCCGGCACAGAGAATCTGTTCCTCAGAATCAGGCTCAGAGTGCTCAGCAATCTAGACACTCAATCCCTACAGCCAAGAGAGAAGAAAGCCTGGCAACTACTCCAATTGGCAGCAGACCTTGGCATCATCCATGTGGTGCTGGTTGTAGGCACAGGCAGAATGCAAGAGTTGAGGTTAACAAGGCTTACACCTTGATTTCAGAAGGCCTGGGAGGCCAGGAAGTATGCCTCTGAGAGGGCAGTGTGTGAAGCAGAGAAGTGTAATGTGCAGTGGGAACCCCAAAAAGTTTGGAAAAGCCAGGAATGTGGCACATCTAAGGGAAACTACAAGAAGGGCATAAAGTAGACCCAAAAGACAAGCCATGGGAGCTACAACCACCAGAAGTGCCACATGGGTGGAGGCACGGATTGCCACAGATTGCTTTGGATGTTCCACATGGAATTTACAAGACTTAACGTTTGCCCTGCTGGATTTTGGAAGTCTGGTGGTTTTAATGCTTCGTATTCCCATTTTGTGTACCTTCTGGAAAGGTAATGTTTTATCTTGTGCCACTGAATGCTGAAGTGTATAACTTTTCATTTGTACGGGGGCTCAAAGCTAATTTTGCTTTAGATCTTGGAGGAGACTTAGGACTTGACTTTTCAGCAATGCTGAAACTGTTACGACTGGCAATTCTCAGAGATGGACTAAATGCCTTTTGCATAAAGGATGTTCCTAAGTCTTTGGGGGCCCAGGGGTGGAGTGTTATGGTTTATGTCTAATTGTCCACCCAAAGCCTCATTTAAGTCATGGGGTAGACTTCTAGAGTTTGTAATTAACTCATGAACCACGGGGGTTAGGGGTACAAGTGCTACACCCAGCCTGGGGCAGATAGCCTGAATGCAACATAAAGGAGACAGACTTGCTCTGTTGCCATTGCTCCAACCCTTTTGGCTATAGTGTTTTGCTGTTTTCTGCTGACATGAACTGTTGCCCTCTGCCATGTGCCAGTCTGCCTTAGGCCCAGCTGAGTATGGACTGAAACCTCCACTGTGAGCTAAATAAGCCTTTCTCTCCTTTGTTTTGGGTGTTGGGTATTCTGTCCCAGCAATGACACAAAAGTAACTGAGACACAACATTATCTTACATTTAGGCTTATCAGTGTTAGCCTTTCTCAAAGAGAATTCCTTTTCATGATTTATGATTATGAAAATGGATTGGCCTAAGCCACTTGGAATAATTCAGTCTTAACATCTAACATATGAAGGTAAAGAACATGATACAGCAACACTAGAAATAAGTTAAGATTTTTAAATAATATGGAGACAAACTTTTATCATTTCATCACATTCATTAGGTCATCTGTTCCTATCTTACACCAAAATTCTTTCAGCCCCCCCCCCCTTTGTACCAGTGATCAAACTCAGGACCCTGCAGTTGCTAGGCAGGTGCTTATGCTGTTCAGCTATCTCTCTGGCCCTTCAGCTCATTTCTTATTGAAAAACTAGTATGAATATGTGGCCCTACTGGCACATTATCCTTTCATCTTTCACTGTGATCATACATTCTGAATTCTAGGGAGTATATAGGGGCCTTCTTGAGAGGCAGCCAAACAGTTTAGGTAACAATAGTTGTGGAAAGAAAACAGCTTTCTGGTGTTTTTGACCTGCCTAGAAATGCCTCATCCATAGTGCATTCTCAGTTAAAGGTGGAGTCAGCATCACAACTGTTTTTAGGTAACCCTCAGCACAGTCTATAATATAGCTAAGCAGACTGCACTTCATACACAAAGTACCTGTATCTTCCTGCCAATTGCCAGAAGCTTATTTTGGTGGGTAAGTAAATGTAATCATTTATCACTTAATGACAGGGACACATTCTGGGAATCCAGCAATATCATTGTGTGATCACAGTATACTAAAACTAGAATGGCTATAATGTCATTAGGCAGTATCTTACCAAGCCACCATCATATATGGGGCCTGATGCTGACTAAAATGTGATTGGCACATGACTAGTTACATTTCAGTATTAAAAAATAAGGCTAGATGGCACATGTTTATAATCGCAACACTCTGGGAGGCCAAGGCAGGAGGATTCCAAGTCTGAGTATGGCCTGGGCAATTTAGTGACTTTGCGCAACTATATAAAAAATCAAAACAAAAGCAGCAAGCAGCAGCTGGGGGCTGCTATATTTCAGTGTGAAGGTCATATGTGCAATCAGTAGTACAGGGAAAACAAGAAAAAATCCCCATACCCAACTCTTTCATTGAAATATTAGTAAGTCCAAAGCCCAAATTGTCAACATAATCAAATATCCAAAACTTTAAATTCTATTAATTATATTTGTCCCAAAATACACAACTTGCCTACAAAATGAGATAGGTTAGCATAAGTATCTTCTGGATAACTTAACATTCAAATTTCATGAAGGTAATAACATGAAAATAATTGTATCTGTAATGCTCAATGTTCAGTCTGTAGATATTTATATCCTTTAAACAACTGACAATATCAATAAAAATGAAATAAAACATCTGCATTAACCTTTACTTATAATTCTGACTTTACGGGATAAAGTACACAGTAAACTATCCAAAATTTAAAATGAGAATTAGGGCTGGGAAGACAGCTTGGTGTTCTAAGTGCCTGCTAGGCTATAGCAAAGACCTGGGATTGATTCTTAGTACCATATGCCACAATGGAAACCCAGGTAGGCTGTGCAGGCCACTGAAACCAGGCATGGTGGTGCACACCTATTTAAATAAAAGATTTTAAAATTTTCTTAAAAAATTAGAATTAGACATATATAAAGCCCCTACTATGATGGTAAACTTATGATCCTGATTTCATTTTATCTTCTGAATGAGTCTACAAATTAAGAATCATTTTTATTTAATCAGTGTAGAAACTTAAAAGTAACTTGTCTAGAAACAAATGATAAAACTGCTTCATTCAAAATACATTTCAAAAAACAGAGTAGTTAAATGTAAAAAAATAAAAAATTTGCTATTGGGCATATTTGTAAGCAAGGTTAGTGTATCAACATTAAAATACACTTACCTGATAGCTTGGCTTCTTTTGGTGGTTTGCACATTTTTTAATGTGTGTTTACTGCTCCATTAAACTAATTTCATTGCAAGTAGACAAGAATGTAAATTTTCATCCTCTGAACACTAATAGATGCCTAAAACCTGCTCTGTAAATGGTGGTCGCTCAAGAGATTTGTTCAGTAAACCTGAAAACCAAAATGACCCTTATGGTTCAAAGTACACAAAGTTTTTACTGTAAGTAACATACACCAAAATAACATGAAAATATGTATTTATTACCAACAAAGTAACATTTCCAACACAAAGTTTTAAACAATTATACACACATGTACATACACAATAGGACAAAATTACATTTTTCACATATTAAAGGTTCATACTGCAAAGAAAATAGACATATATCCAAAAGACAATCAGAAAGTATCAGGAAATGTTTCTTCTTACTTTGAATATGTAAAACATTTTAACAGACACTCTCCTTAGGCAAATCAGTGAAGATTTAGTCTTCAAAAAATGTCTGTCACCTTAAAGTTTTAAATATCACCTTATTCATCAAATTAAGCTCTTTAGTTGACTTTTCATAATTTGAATATAATTAAAAATCAACATCTTCACAAAACATGAAATTTTAAGTAGCTGAGACGATAATACGTTAGCCTTATTATTCCTTAAGATGTTAAAAGTGATACATAATTTATCCTTCAAGCTCAAAATTCAAGGTAAAACCAAATACTAACTTTGTTCAGTGCACAAATACACATGCTTACACACAAGGTATGAAATAACTGTTGGCAAATATAAACTGTAATGCATTTGGCCATTTTATTTTCAAATATGATTAACATTTATGCCCTTATTTTGAGTTTTTTCTTTTTTTAGTACCTGGAATTGAATTCAGGACCTTGTGTTTGCCTGGCAGATGCAAGCATATATTTTTACACTGAAGAGTTTATTCTGCAGAAACTGATGACTTGTGCTAATTTAGACAATAATCTCTATCACAGAACATAGTAATATTATAGTAGAGTATAAAGTTAACAATAGAAACTTTTGGTAATATCCATGTACTCAAATGTTACCAAGTTTTTCAAAGTTCATGTGACTTGTTCACCCTAGTGAAAATATTTTAAAAATATTTTCATACTTGATGCATTAGATTTAGTTTAAGAGAGAACTTTTAAAATTTTATTTATAAAGAAAAAAAAACTTTTTCAAAGAGAAAACTGCTTGAGAAAATTTAAACTCATAGATCATTATTTGTGAATATGAATATAAATTTCAATGGCTATATAAGAACATATAAAACTCAAACTGAATGCAATACTTCAATTTATGCAGCCTAACAAGTCAAAAATGTAATTTTGTTATTACCAGCAGAGCCAATCCAAATTCAAAGACATGTCCTTGCAACAGTCCATTTTCTTACAAGATTTATTTTTTAAAAGAATAAAATTTATTGGGCACTATTAATTAGTGTAACTCAGAGGTAAATCAGTGATTTTCTCACTTAATTGATTCAAGCTGAAAAAAAAAGTTTAAACTAGATTTTTCTAGGATAATGAATGGGTAGATCAACACTGTAAGGAATGACCTATTACCTTAATTCTGAAACATTACAGTTTTAAATCAATACATTTTCCTCTTACAAAGCACTGAAAAATTTCAAATACAAATTGTAGAAACCAGTATATGAAATCTTAAGAAAATCTTACTAAAAATAATTATAAAAATGTTTCTTTAGAAATTTAAGATGTAAAATACAACTGACTTAAAAAAAAAAACACACACACACACGTACTTTATAAGGTTATTCTTTAAAAAAAAAAAAACCCCTCGCCTCTGGATTTTATTCTGTCAATCTTTAGGCAGCATTTAGTATCATAGAGGCTACCATGTGACATTTCAAATAAGTCACACTATTGTTTTTCCAAGCATAATGCTTTCCTTTTCCAATACCAATACAATTACAGCATCGTTTCATAAATTACTTTCATGGGCCATAAAAATTCATTTCCTAGTGGAGATGTTTTTTTAATAGAAAAAAATGAATATATTTGTCATAAATTATTACTATACATTAGACATTTCCATAAAAATTTTAAAAAGTTAAATGTAACACTGGTGAAAAACTAGGTTTTAAGTTCTAGAGTCATCTTTATTCTTTGAAAGTAACTAAAATTACTTTGCAATTAAAGCTCAACCCTAGTTCCACCATACCTTTGATTTGTAACAATAAATACCTTCAATGTTGGGAGCCCAGGACTCAAAGACAGAGGACTAAAGACTCCAGTTCAACCAAGACTGAAGACCCACCAGATGACATTCCAGAGAAAGAGGTCTTTACAGTCTCTCGTTCATCAATCTTTGTATTTAAGAGCAGGTTTCAAAAAATAACCAATTTTCTAATTTAATAAATCTCTTTTAACTTTATTAAGCCATAGTTATTAACAGAATTTAATAACAACAATAAAAACTCTGAAAGGTTCTTCTATTTACTTTTATTGAGAAGGCTGAGTAAATGTAATACGGCGCCGCCGCCTTTGGAAAGCCTTTAAACTCCATCTATTTGACTCCAGCATATGAGGACCATTGTAGATAAACAACACTGTCATCTTTTCAGAATAAGGAAGGTTTTGCAGGAGCTGTAGGTATTAAAAAAACTGTCATGTAATTCTATATACTGAGTAGTTTTCCAATGTTCCACATACACAGCCAAAGATACCACCTTATTTTAATATTAAGCAAAGTAAACCTTATTAAGCTGGGATCATTACTTTCATTAGCATACCTAAAGCCTGGCCTAAAGAATAATCCTCATGCTTGGGGGTCCTCTATATTTCACATGACAATTGGTATTCTCACATAACTCCCTACATTTCCTAGGATTGATGTTTTTCCTTTTACCCATCAACACTTCTCATACAACTTCTATAGTTAAAGCACTGTGATAAATTGATAAGAGATATTTGGCTTATAAGACAAAGTGGTAAACAACAAAAGTATTTAGTAGATTTGGCTATTCCACTCAGCATCTGTTGAAATCAGTAATAATATCCAAAAGAAATTTGAATTTAGGATGGGCTCTCCAATAAAACCTTTTATGAAAACTCGCCAAAAAATAGAAAACCTGATTTTTAGAATTTTTAGAAATTAAGTAAAAATTTTCATGGAAAAGCACTATGTATTCTAATTTCAAAGTGCCAGACTGTAAACCTCTAAGGAAAAATAACTAAAATACAATGGACTGCCATGCTATTTTCTGCTAAAAGGAGCTATCAATAAGCACATCCTTCGGTATATGACCTTTTTAATTTACCTGCAGCAAAGATGTAACAAAAGAAAATTCCCTGTTGCAGTGGTCTCAGGTCAGTGCTGGCAAACCTACAGCACACATGCTGCAGTGGGCTGTTTGCATCACTGAATAGTTTACCATTACTTGTTTAGATCATTGAAATTTTTCTATAACAATTAACTGTTATTATCAATATTAATGTGTATGTAAAAGATACTGAGATATTTTTTATCTTTTCTGGATCAGGGGAGAAATGCTAAAAACAGAGGGGCAGTAAGTGAGAGGTCAGGCCTTTATGGGGACATGGAGAAGGAGCTGCAGAGTTTATACTTCTGTTATTTTTTAGTGCTAACAGAGGAATTTCTCTCTAAGAGTAATTTAAGCCAAGCATGGAAGAAATCTTGGTTCTAGAATATGAGATACCTCTTACATTTCTTCTTTAAATAATAAGACTTTTGATTAGGTATGTCACTGGAATTTATTCCTTATATAAATATTACTATAATCATCCCCCCCCCCTTTTACTGGGGATTGAACTTCGGACTTTGCGCTTGCCAGACAGGTACTTATATTGCTGAGCTGTCTCCCTGACCCCATTATTATAATCTTTTTTAACTGTGTTTTGTTTTTTTTTTTTTTTTTTTTTTTTTTTTTTTTTTTGGGGGGGGGGACTATTCCTGCTCATATTTACATACTAGGCCAAAATCTGCTTTATAATTAAGCCACAGACTCCTGAGTACATGGGCACTGTGAGGTTACTTGCTGCTTACCTTTGGTGTAATAAAGAAGTATTGAGATGTGTTTTCTTTACAGGCAGTGTTTACAACCATTTCAAATACTCTCCGTTCATTGATTGGGTCCATCCCCTAAATCATGATGATGGTAATGATTATATTTGTAATTCTTCAGGATACAATAAGATTCAAATAAAAAAATAATGACTGTACCTGATTAATTTCATCTACTACTCTAAAAGGACACCTATTAAGCTCTTGAAGTGCCATCAAGTACAGCATGGTAGAAACACTTCTTTCACCTCCACTTTGATGATGAGGAGTCAATTCATGCAACTGAGTACTGCTGCGGAATTTGACTCTAATTCGAATTCCGTACTTATCATAGTCTTCCTAATGAAAGATTTTAAAAGTTGCAAGATTAGTCTTCCTTGCTAATCATTTGAAAGTAAATTAATGTATCAACAGTAAGGTAAAGAACTTAAAATTCAAGAATGCCAATTTAAGAATAAAACAATAAAATATTATAGTTACTACCTAAAAATATTAAGAGCTTCCAAAGAACTATTATTTAAACAAAGGAATGATTCAGATTAAGTGACATTTTCCTTTCTTGATACTGTTTTCAACTTTATCAGGCTCTCCTGAGAAGTTTTAGAAATTACTAAGTGAGGAGACTTTCATGGAAAAGCACTACCTATTCTAATTCCAAAGTAGACTGTAAAACTCAGTGAAAACAACTAAAATACAGAGGAGTGGTATGCTATTTTCTGCTATGGAAGTAGTTGGGAATGTGACTACAGAGGGCTACAGAGTACTTCCCACTCCTTCAACTGGTTAAAAGAAATCAGTATGAATTTTCATATTATTTTAATTTTAATATGCCCTATCAATACAGTTTTTATATACACTATACCATACCAAAAAACAAAACACCATACTATTCACACAATACTTTGCAAAAATAAATCTGATGCAGTATACATGATCAATAAATATGTATTGCTGTAATAAGTGAATATTCTCTATATTTCGCCAGTTGAGTCTGTTCCAAGATTTACTGTTTTTATCCATATCATCATTTCAAGGTCACAGAGGCTGACATCTACTCTAAAAGTGTAGTATGGTCTGGGTGGGTCATGGAGGCGTGGCCCTGAGTACCACATCAGGTTGCCAGCCCCTTCCTCTTTGGCACTGTTCCGGGCCCCACTTCTCTGCTGCCATGAAAGGAGCAGCCCACTCTGTCATGCTCTTCTGCAATGATGTTTCCACCCTGCTGCCAGGACAGCACGGCCTGCATTCCCTGAAACTGAATCTCAACCTCTCCCCTTTTAAGTGTGGCTAATGGTTATTGTGTTCTGTTAGGGAAGCTGATTATACATTCAGGCTGTATACAAATGGAGCTAGTGAGCTATCAGTCACTCATCTCCATTCCAAGGGGGATGAGAAGGTGGTACAAGTCTAATGAAATCTCCCAGGTGATGTTTTTCTTCCTCTGGATAATTGTTCAGCAAGTAAGAAAAGATATAACTCTAGGGTAAATACATATACATGTACTTTTAGTTTGTAATTAGTATTATTTGCCAAAAAATATATTCCAAAATGCAGCTTTACCTCATTTTCTGTATGGAGATCAACTTCACCAGCACACTGCATGGAACTAAAAAAATTGCTGAATTTTTCATTAATCTTTTCTACTAGCTCTTTTAAGGGATTTAGCCACCGTTCTTTTACCTAAAAATAAAAGCAACATAAAAATATACTTTGAAAGAAGTATTATTAAATCCTGATATAAAACTCTACATAAGACAAAATTGTATCAACTATCAATCTGGTCATAAAAACCCATTTTTTTCTTTTAGAAGTATTACACCATTTTGTGTTACTCTACATGTCCATATCATTTATGGTACACCTATGACAAAAAAAGAGAAAAATTTGAAAATTACCTGTGAAATGTTTTCCCTGTACTTGTCTAGTTCTATTTTCTTTTCCTTTAGTTCCTCAGTTAACTGTTTTATTTCTTCTTCTCTTTTTGTGTATTCCTGAACCACCTGGTAGGAAAAGAAATATTTCTTTTAAGATAAATCTGCTAAATGATAAAATTAAATAAAAATTTTCATCAATTAAAATATCTGAAAATGTCAACTGTGTTGTACTGTTGGTATACAATTAATTTACGTTATTACATACTGAAAATGCCTTTTAATCTTGAAAAAATAGATACTGCAGTATTTCCAGTTAACCCAACTATTCTTTTTTATGAAGAAAAGGCACAGAACACTGTGTTCCTTAGGAAGAATCTATTTAAAATTCTAATAGATTCAGAATCTGGCATTTAAAGCACATTGTTCCTGCTGTCTAGCTTATTATTACCAAGAGCTCTAGTACAGAGTGGGAGGCAAGGACTGGAGGGAACTCTGTGTGTGTGTGTGTGTGTGTGTGTGTGTGTAGGGTAGAAGTGGCAGCAGCCACAGAATGGGAACAGAGAAAGAGGCATACTGTAGGATTCAGTCCTGTGAAGCAGGAAGCTCTTGATCTTTCTTCAGTTAATAAAGCATCAATTTCATCCAATGTGTTTGGAAGATCTTGGAAAGCCTAAAGAAAAAAACAGTCTATCATTAGAGACACTATAGTAAAAACAGTACCATTCAAATAGTTAAAAGGAAAATTATTTGCTAATTACTATCAATCAGCAGCATGCTAGCACACAAGGATTCAAAGGAATTATAAACATGGTCTTTTACTTCAAAGAGCTTAAATATACAAAGAGGATAAAATGTATACATCTGATAACACCTTACGGCAATGTATTGGTGTTGAGTATTAAAATAAGCAGTACAGGGCCGGGGAGATGGCTCAGTAGAATAAGCGCTTCCCTGGCAAGCACAAGGGCCTGAGTTCAATCCCTGGTTCCACAAAAAAACAAAACAAAACAAAAAATAATAATAAGCAGTACATACCTGATAGGCTATGGAACTTAGGAGAAAAGAACTATCAGTTCATGCTATAGGAAAGTTAAGAGAAATCTACGGCCCATCTCTGGGCCTTAAAGCAAATGGCTAGAAAAAAATCAAGTAAGAAGAGAGACTGAAGCGTGGAAAGAAAAGCACTGCATACCATGGGGGGTGAGGAGTTGTGTCCATTTGGAATGGTGGGTACTTGCTGAATTGGTAGAATGGGTCCAGAATATGTGGGGCATTGAAAGAGAGCAAGAAGTTAGAACTTTACACTGTACTTATGAAGAACTACAAAAGCATCCTAAGAATCCAATTACTTTGACAGGAGTTCATCATCCAACTGTCTTCTGAATCCATGCCACAAGGACAAATGAAAACACACATTTTGCTATAAGGTGAAGCAAGAGGTACAATATTTTGCTTAGCATGACCTGCCAAGTCCATCTACAAACACCTACAAAATGAATCTTGAAAGACATAAAAATGATTCCAGCATCCTGTATTCATCTAAATGTCTCAATCTCCTACTTTTTAAAATAACCTTGATAGGTCTGGGGAGAGAACTCAGTGGCATAAGTGGCCTGTGCAAGTACAAGGACACCATGCTGGCCACTGAAACAGTATGGTGGTACATGCCTGTAATCCTAGCACTGGGCAGGCTGAGACAGGAGGATCACTATGAGTCTGAGGCACGTAGTGAGACCCTGTACCAAATAAGTAAATTAAGGAAAAAAAGAAAAGAAAATAACCTTCACAATGCAGTTCAGGTTACTGTTATATACATCTGTTGAATCTCTGATTTTCCACTGAACTTCGAGCTCATGTATCTAACACTTAATCAACAACCTCACCTGACTCTTAAAATTTCATTTGCCTTCCCTTTAAGCAAACCTGTTTCTCTCCATCTTCTCCACCAAAGTAAACAGCAATACTACTCAAGGATCTTGATCTTTTACCCTTCACCTCAAATCCATAAATTCTGATGGCATTTTATTAAAAAAAGATAACTCTTATTAACTTCTCTCTCTGTAGTGCTATCAGTTAATCCAAACCACAATCATCTGTTCCCTTATGGAAATCAATATTATCCTCTAAATGGTCTCTTTTCTTCCATTCCTGAATCTCTATTCTCCACAGTGAAGTTAAGAGTGCTCCTTCAAAAATTAGACTTAGGAACATCACCTTTATGTTTAAAATCCGCCAATAGATTCCATCTCGAAAATCATATAACCCAAACTGTATGTTCCAGAAGGCCCTCTTCTGTTAGTTTGCATTTTAATTTTTATCCCCAGTAAGATTCCTTCTATTCTGACCATGACAAATACACTACCATCTCAGGGGCTTTGTATGAGCTGTTTTCTTTGCCTGGGATATTTTCCTTCCTATTTTCCACTTGACTAATTTTTCATTCAGGATTTGACTAATATAGTATCTTCTCAAAGGAGCTATTACTAACCAGATTCCCATATTTGTCACTCTCATGCCTTACCTTAGCTCAGTTGTTTAAGTGGCTGCTTCAACAAAGCAGTCAGGCTCAGGTTGCTGAGGGGTTGGATCCCCACAACTCAAGCCAGCCAAACCTGCCCTGAAGGCATTCGGAGAAAAAAAAAAAAAAAAAAACCCAGAACCTTCTACCTTATTTTTCTTAACATCTCTTGTTATCTGACAATATCTATCTGCTTCCTGCTTTTGTCTGCCCCACCCTTCAGATACGAATATATAGAAGTATGTCTGTCTTGTTCAGTATGTGTCATATAATAGCTAATTCATATAATAGATGTATTATTTTCCCATTTTGCTTCTTTTAAAGAGTACGAGTTAGCAAGGATATATCATGTTATTTCTTAAAGTAAGTATAATAGCTACTGTACGGGTTAATTTGTAAAAACAATGTATTTTGGAGAAGTCCTAGTACTTAGAAGCAGTAAACACTTGGATTAATTATATGAATTTCTACTGAATTCCTAATATGTATTAGGTCAAATCCATCCTCTGTGGTTTCTGTGTCCCCAATCCTTTGAGGATTTCCCAATTGTAACCTAAAAATCTGTTAGTCTTTTTTCAGTATTGTTTTTATCTTTTAGCCTTTGTTTTTCTAAATATCACCTCTATTTGTACAATGTTTCTATCAAGAACTATATTCCATATCTCCCAACTATAGCCTTTACAAATAGTTTAGAAGGAAAAGGCCCCTCTTACTGTCAGAATGAAATGTAACTCCTATGTCTTAACAATTTTAGTACTGAGCATAAGATTTACTGGTATCACATTTGAGTACAAAAAAGAACACAATTAATACATATTCAGCTTAAAAACGGGGAAATCTATTTTTTAATAATACAGCATGTTTCTCATGGCCTGTATAAGGCCCAAATTACTCTAGGATTAAACACATTGTGTTACAGCAACTGTGGCATTATATATTTTTATACTTACTGTCTGGTATTCCTGAGGAACAGCCTGCTGTGCACCCAGGTTACATACTTGCCTAGCTCTCTTCATAAGTTCCTTGCATTTCTGCAATAATTGTAGCCTGTTGTCATCCAATTCAATGAAATGTTGCTATTACAAGAAAAAAATTGAAATTTTGAATGTTACTGTTAAAGCAGAACACCACTTTATTAAACCACCATATGTCAATATATTACTTCAATATAATTACTGATGTTATTTGGTTATTATGATATAACCAAATCATTTCCACCATATCTCAAGATTGCTTTTATCAAAATTGTTAAATAACCTTTAAGATAACACTAACACACTACTAACCTGGCATTTCTCTAATATGGAAGACCTGCCTTGTTGTGAAAGTTTAGTTTATACTTAATTAACTATACCCTACTGAAATTAAAAAAAACAATACTTGAGATTCATATTGGAAAACTCAGCACTTCAGTGTAAAACTGCTTGACAGTTTTCCAAGTGTGCTTTATATGTACTAATCATCTTTTCATGGACCTATTCACTCTTTTAATTACTGAAAATTACGTAGTGCTAGTACTAAATTCTGCACTAAGCATAGGAAGGTGGATATGAAAAAAACACACAGAATCATTATCATAACAAATAGGTATTATTTTCTGCATATTTATGTGCTAGACCCTTGGCTAAGTGCTTCACAATTATTATACCTTTTATTTCTCACAACAGTGTACCACCAGTAACATCATTTCCATTTCTTATGCTGGGGGTGGGGAGAAAAGAATAAAAGTACTAAATAATTTGTCCAAGCTCACACAATTCATGTTCATGTCTCCTTAGGGTACATGATCACATCAATTAGAATATGATGCTTTTGCAAAGGGGGCAGACTGCACAGAGAAAGTAAGTGGGAGAAGGAGATACAGGAAAATCAAGAGTGGTAATGGACTATGACAACAGAGCAGTTTCAAAGAAGAGCACATTACTAAAGAAGCAGTAGCAGAAGGCAGTATGATTTAAACGGAAAGAAAGGCATATAGGCCTTAAAGAAATGTTTAGGGAAGAAGTAATTTAATATAGTTAAAATAGAGGATTTCTTTTCCCTTATCCCCAGCACTGGGGACTGAATCTAGGGCCTTCACAGTGAGCTACATCCCAGTCCTTTTTATTTTTAAGACAGGATCTTGTCAAGTTGCTACATTGCCCCAACTGGCCTCAAACTTACAATCTTGTCTCAATCCTCAAGAGTGTTGCGATTGTAGTTATGTACCACCATGGCTAGCCAGAGAAAAGGAATTTTAAGTATGAAAAAATCAGAGTTGGAAAGGGCCAGACTACAAAAGTTTCACATGAGGAGGAAATCTAATCTATTGAATGCCTGTTGTAGGCTAACCACTTTAACAACTACTATTCTGTATGTTATTTATACCCCATTACAGTCTTTTGAAACATGTCATCTCTCCTTTAAGATATGGCTGGTAGTTATTAAGAATCTTGCCCATGGCTACACAACTAGCAGTAAAAAGGCTTCTCAGAAAGACAATAGGTCTATCTTACGCTTTCCACTAAACTCAAAACTAGTCTTCATAAACAAACAAACAAACAAACAAACAAACAAAAAAACCCTTGCGGTAAGGAGTTGGTGCACTAGCCACACCCCAGATCTATTTGACTAGTATCTGAGGATGGGGCCTGTGCACTTGCATTATTAACAAGGTTTCAGATGTTTTTTATGCATAAAACTTTGACAGCCAATAAACTAAACCAAGACAATAGTTAGGAAAAGTGAAAGGACATATATTAGATTGAAATTATAAACAAGCCATTTTTGGGGGGAGGGGTGGCTCGGGCTGCCTGAAGGGCAGGGCTAGTAAGGCAGGTAGAGCTGGGGATCAAACTATGGTATCCTGCTCCTGACTGCCTTTGCATGAGCAGGTGCTTAAACAACTGAACTAAGGGCAGGCCCCCCAAGCAAGCCTTTATGCTAATCATTTAGTACTATGGCTTCCTTTAATGAACGCCTCAGTCCCAGACACAAAATCTTATACTGTTATCCCAAAGTGCTAATTTCAGGTAATACAATATTATTTTCTTTTAAACCTATTACACGTAGAATATGTTTTCTGTAAACTATTCAAGCAATACCTAACAGAAAGAAAGACATATAGGCCTTAAAGACATGTTTAAGGAACAAGTAATTTAATACAGGTAAAATAGAGGATTTCTTTTCGCTATCCCCAGCACTGGGGACTGAATATAAGGCCTTCAGTAACTGTACAGTTACAAAATGAAAATTTCTTACAAACATTAACAGTTCGGGGTACATAGTTTCAATTATTTTTTCCATGTTATTTATGTGCATTACTATGACTATTTTACTCATTAATATAAAATTAATTGGATTAGATCAATTCATTTTTCTTAGAGTTATTCACTTAATAATGTAACTATTTTTCCACACTCAGGAGATTTACAACTCACTTTTTGTATGTGAATGACCACATAGTATTTCTTAGAGTGAATATTCCTCAGTTTATGTAACCATTTCCTTATTATCTGACATTTAAGGTGCTTCCTATTTTTCACTGTTACAGACAATGCTCCACTTATCCTTTTAGACATGAGCATTAGTTCTTTACAACAGACTCTTTAGAATTGGAATTGCTGGACTGCAGCACAAGCATGCTAGGTTTCAGCTAACTACTATCAGACTGCCCTTCACAAAGACCCTATAAATGTTCCTTATAATTAAAAATACTTCTGCTTTAGGGCTGGACAGACAGCTCAGTGGATTAAAGTGTCTGCTTAGGCAGACACAGGGCCCAGGAACTGGATCCCTGGCCTGCTGTGCTGGTCCCGTGCCTGATGCATGCTGAGACAGTGATGGAGACTGGGCGTGGTGGTGAAAGTCTGTAACTCCAGAGCATGGGAGGCTGAAAACAGGAAGGATCACTACAAGTCTGATCTGTGTAGTGAGGCCTTGTACTAAATATATTAAAAAAAAACAAAAAAATTGCTTTAAATTTATTCAAATGATCAGATTATTCTTCAGTGTAAATGATCTCTCATTCCTTCAGATACTGAATTTTTAATTCTTTACTTTTAAATAGTTTCCCTTCCCTTAAAATTATTTTGTTCTTAGCTAGAGATCAATAGTGAAAGACTGACATACATGAAAGCTAGAAGACTTCAAAACCAGGCAACAACAAAAAAGCTGTTAATAGTACTGTAAATAGTCTTTTTGTCAGGATTTTTTTTTTTTTTAACCTAGCTCTGATCCACTTAAAAATTTTCAGTTCATTTCTAATACAGGCTTCAAGGTTTTCCGTAACAATTAGTAGGTAGTTGTTATTTTGTCACCAATATCATCTTTAAAATGTCCAGGGAAATTTATAGTAATGAATTCTCAAATCAGGAAAACACAATGAGATCAAACAACCAAGCTAATGTGAAGTATCAACCTTCTAGAAAAAGAACAAATCAAACCCAAAGCTTGTACAATGGAAGAAACTAAAGATCAGAGCTGAAATTAATACAATGGAGACTAAGAAAACAATATGAAGAACTAATGGAAAAGTTGATTTCTTAAAAGATTAAATAAAACTGATAAATCCTTAGTCAACCTTACCATAAAAAAAAGACTTAAATTAATGTTATTAGGAATGAAAGGTATAACATCACAACAGAGCCTGTAGAACACCAGATGATCTTATTTCAAGGACCTGTTCCTAATAAGATGGAAAACACAGAGGAAATGGACAGATTCTTAGATACACATGAACTGCCAATACCAAATCAAGATACACAAGTTCTAAAATTCAAACTGTAATTAAAAAATTAGCAACAAAGAAAAGCCCAGGTCCTGATAGTCACTACTGAATTTTACAAGAAATTCAGAGAAGACCCAATGCCACTATTGCTGAAGCTCTTTAATCAAATTGAAAGGGAAGTAATATTCTAAAATCATTTCTGGAAGCAATTATTACCTTGATAATAAACCAGAGAAGGACCCAATCAAAAAAGAAAGCCACAGTTCAATCTTTTTAATGAACATAGACAAGAAATTCCTCAATAATATACTGGCAAACAGAATACAGCGAATTATCAAAAAGGTATATACTGGGGCTGGGGAGATGGCTCAGTAGAATAAGCGCCTGCCTAGCAAGTGCAAGGTCCTACGTTCAATCCCTACGTTCAATATATATATATATAAATAATCTATGTAGGATTCCATCACAGGGATACAGAGGTGGTTCAACATACACAAGTCAATAAATGTAATATACCATACCAACAAAACCAAGGACAAAAATCAACGATCATCTCAACAGATGCAGAAAAAGCATTTAACAAAGTCCAATACCCATTCATGATAAAAAAAAAAAAGCTGATAGACAATTGGAATAGATGGTCTTTTATCTCAATCTGATAAAAGCCATCTATGACAAACCAACAGTGATATCATAATACAGGACAAAAACTGAAAGCTTTCACTCTAAAATCAGGAACAAGACAAGGATGTGCACTATCACCACTCCTATTCAATATAGTTCTGAAAATACCAGCGAGAGCAATTAGACAAGAGAAAGAAATGCAAGGAATAAGGCTAGGAAAGGCAGAAGTTAAATTATCATTTGCAGATGACATGATACTCTACGTAGAAGATCCCACATACTCCACCAAGACTTCTAGATTTAATAAACAAATTAAGTAGTGTAGGTACATACAATGCCAACACTAAAAAATAAATAGCATTCCTGTACACAAATGACAAATGCACTGAGAAAAATTAGGGGAACAACACTTAACACAATAGTATGGGAAAAAATGAAATACTTAGGAATTAATCTAGAAGTTCTATACACTGAAAATTATAGTACTCTAAACAAAGAGATCAATGAGGACATCAGAAAATAAAAAGATATCACTCGCTCATGTTTAGAAGAACCAACATTGTGAAAATGGCCATACTCCCAAAATTGTTAAATAGAGTTAATGTCATCACAAATCAAAATACATTAGCATACTCACAGAACTAGGGAAAACATTCCTAAAATTCATTTGGAGTCTTAAGAGACCTAGAATAGCAAAACAATTCTAGGCAAAAAAAGAGCTATTGTGATAGAAATAGCACGGCA